TTGACCAGGATGGTCTCGATCTCTTGACCTCGTGATCCACCCGCCTCGGCCTCCCAAAGTGCTGGGATTACAGGCTTGAGCCACCGCGCCCGGCCTAGTTTTTAGTTAAGAGAGAAAAAAAGAGCAGACTGGATGTGAGGAAATAGATGGAAACAGAGTAGAGATTTAACAAAAAATGTTGAGGGTTATGTATACCTTTAACATATTTGAAAAATATAAGGGCCAGACATGATGGCTTAGGCCTGTAATCCCAGAACTCTGGGAGGCGGGCAGATCACCTGAGGTTATGAGGTCAAGAGCAACCTGCCCAACATGGTGAAATCCCATCTCTCCAAAAAAAAAAAAAAAACTAGCTGGTCATGGTGGTGGGTGCCTGTAACCCCAGCTGCTCAGGAGGCTGAGACTGGAGAATCACTTGAACCTGGGAGGCGAAGGTTGTAGTGAACTGAGATTGTGCCACTGCACTCTAGTCTGAGCAACAAGAGTGAGACTGTCTCAAAAAAAGAGAAAAGAAAAGAAAAATCTAAGAAAAAAATGAGTTGTTTTAAAACTATTCTTTGGTGGCCCAGTAAGTTTCTTTTACTGCAACACTGCTTTAAGTTCAGACCATGTAAGCCAGGCACGGTGGCTCACGCCTGTACTCCCAGCACTTTGGGAGGCTGAGGTCAGGGGGTAGCTTGAACCCAGGAATTTGAGAATAGCCTGAGCAACATAGTGAGACCCAGTGTCTTTCAAATACAATAAAATAGAGTTCAGATCATGGTTTGCTTAAAAATCTATAAACATATAATGGTTAACTAAGAATATCCTTAAGTGGAATGTAAAGTTGTGTGGTAGATAAGGCTAGGCTGATCCTGTGGTCAAAGGAGCATTTGCAGTGAAATGGAGAGTTGTTTGGTAAGTAGATCATTGGTCAGTATCCCTTGCTACCAACCTGTTTATAAAGGTCCCTAAGCACCAAAAATAGCAAGGTGCCTCATTTTTAAGATGTAGCCTATTTTCTATTCCAATGTAGCTTAGATAAAATGCAACAAGTTGATTTTCCTTCCATTTCATGAAAAGAGTTTTAAATATCTCGAGGTCTATGCTATTAAGAAACCTTTAAAAATCCTTTAATTTAATCCCTTTATTTTACTTCTGTGATCAAAGCAACAGTCAATAAATGTTTTGAGGGCTGGGCCCCGTGGCTCATGCCTGTAATCCCAGCACTTTTGGAGGCCGAGGCAGGTAGATCACGAGGTCAGGAGTTGACCAGCCTGGCCAATATGGTAAAACACCATCTCTACTAAAAATACAAAAATTAGCCGGGTGTGGTGGCAGGCGCCTGTAGTCCCAGCTACTCGGGAGGCTGAGGCAGGAGAGTCACTTGAACCTGGGAGGCAGAGGTTGCAGTGAGCCAAGATCACACCACTGACTCCAGCCTGGGTGACACAGCTGGACTCTGACTAAAAAAAAAAAAAAAAAAAAAAGTTTTGAGTATATGTATGTGTTAAAACATGTGAAAAAAGACTTGAGATTCTGCTTGTAGATTTGTTTCTACCTTCAGAAACTCAGAAGAAAACTTTTTCTAATGGAAAGTAAAATCACTGGGTGGAATGGGAAATCCAAAACAGAGAAGTAACACTCAGATGATGACTGCCTACCTACTTTCAAGCTACTGTCCAGGAATACGAGAAGAATTCAGAGACACATTTTTTTCTCTTCCTTTGCAGAGAGGTGGGGCTTAAGTCTGGAATTCAGATGCCTATTGATGACTGCTCTGTGGCAGCTAAACCAAGAGAACAGCTGCTCTGCTCATTATTTCAAACCACACCAGGGTACAGAGCTTGTGCTTCAGGATGGAAACCTATGGTTATCTGCACAGGGAGTCATGCTTTCAAGGACCTCATGTAAGTAATTCGGAATTCAATAGAGCTTTATTATTGAAATTGCAATCAGAAAAAAAAGGAGGGGAAAAGAAAAATTAGGAGGAAGAGGAAAGCTTTGGCTTTAAATCTATCAAATCCCTCATTTTAAAAAACTTTTTTACTGCTAACTCAGGTTAGTCACTTTGTGGCTGCTACTAGCTTCTCAGTTACTGTGCTAAAATTCAGTCTTCTTGCATTTCCAAACTGAAAGCTGAAATTGAATCATTTTTTCCAGATTCCTGGCACTTTCATCAGATTAAGTGGGGTTCCTTTTACTTTTTGAGATCTTTGTTTCATAAATAACAGTTTACTTCCAAAACATGCAATGTTTGTTTAAACTCTTTTGTTTCCTTCCCTTTTGAAACATGACATGTAGAGCTGCCTAATTTGTACTTCTTTTCCTCAGTTATTTAACTATTGACTGATTGGGGTGGGTGTATTTACTACAAGTTAATTAGTATCTAAGTCAAATAAAAAGGCAATTACCATGTTTATCAATATATAAATGTGACTTATAATGTGCTACACTATAATGTAGTTTATTAAACCTAATTTTTCATTGAGGCATATGGAAATCCAAATGTTTTAGGAAATCATCATCACAGTTCAATTGGGTGATTAAAATATATATTCAATTTAAAGATCATCTATAGTCGAGGAATGGCTTATACAAACACATGCGTGTGTGTGTGTGTGTGTGTGTGTGCTTAGAGACAGAGTCTTGCTCTGTCACCCAGACTGGATTGTAGTAGCATAATCATAGCTCACTGCAGCTTTGAACTCCTGGACTCAAGGGATCCTTCTGCCTCAGTCTCCCAAGTAGCTAGGACAACAGACACAGCTATACCTGGCAAATTTTTAAATGTTTTGTAGAGACAGGGTCTTGCTATGCTGCCTAGGCTAATCTCAAACTCCTGGGCTCAAGTGATGCTCCTGGTTTAGCCTTTCAAAGTGCTGAGATTACAGGTGTGAGCCACTGTATCTGGCCTTATAAAAACTTTTCAATAAGATATTATTTCTGCAAGTACTGTCAACACAGTTTACTCCTGGCTGTATCACTAATGCATACTATTTGTCTTCTTCTATGAGAATTTATTTTTATTTTTTATTAGCACACCTTAAAATTCAAGGTCAGACTTTTCGAGTTTCTCGCTGGAAACTGTAAGTTTTTTCCTTATGTTATCAATAAAATCTGCTTAGAAATGGTTGTTTCTAGTTACGAAAGTAATAGTTGGTCTACTCATGTCTCCATCCAGTTTTTTGTATGACCGACTTCAAAAATGTGGCCTGGAATTATTTCATTCATTCGCCTAGTTTTTGGTGGTTTCTATGGCCACACAAACTCTGAAATACTCTATATGGTCTTTAAGTGGTCATCCAAGGTTCTCTCCCACTTAATAATTCAATTATATTTTCCAATATTCCTCAGTAAAACCTTTCTCTTGTTAGGCTGGTTTCCCCTGTATGCTATTCTCATGCCCATTTTATTGTCTTCAATCACATCATGTTGTCTTCCAGGAAAATACTCTTTTAAAATGTAAAACTGATCGGGTTTCATGGCACACTGAATGTGAGAGAGAAAGGAGGTGGAGAGGTCAAGAATGCTGCCTAAGTTCCTAGGCAGGTGATAATAATACTCACTGAAAATTGGAATGGAAGAGAAAGCCCAAGTTTATGAGGAATAAGAAAGCTCAATTTTGGACAAGTGGATTTGAAGTGCCTCTAGAATACATCCAAATAAAGATGTCCTATAAGCAGCTGAATATTTGGGTTTGGACTGAGAAGACTGGGCTAGAAATTCACATCTAGGAATAATTTTAAATGACCATGAAGCCATGCAAGTGGCTGAAGTCATGCTGGAAATATACTAAAATGAGATATAAGGAAGACTAACTACAGAATTCTAGAAAAATACTTTTATTTAGGAGTTTGAGGAAGTATAACAGCCAGAGAAGGTCAGGAGCAGTGGCTCACGCCTGTAATCCCAGCACTCTGAGAGGTTGAGGTGGCTGATCATGAGGTCAGGAGTTCAAGACCTGGCCAACACAGTGAAACCCCGTCG